TAAGTGTGCACTTTAATATTGCAGTTAACATGTACAGTTATCTCTACATGGAACTGAAAGGCTAGCACTAAGGGGGCGGTTCATGCGTCACATGCAATGAACTCTCGCCGGCTGGGACCAAGGCAATATCGCTGCCAACGACCAATAGCGAGCCTAACAGAAGCTGACGCAGGGACAGCTGGAGGGGAATATTCGACAGCGCGGGTGGGTCAGGGTGGCATACTGCCGCAGGTGGCAGGAATGTGGATGGCATTTGCTGATGGTGCGCAAGGAAAAACGCCACGCGTAAAGCACTTGACTGTTTTGCATTAAGGGAAATTTATGGGCCACCCTGACGTATCAGGGTTGGCCGGACGCACACCCGGATTTAGCCAGGGTGAAAAAAAGGAACACTTTCTACATCAGGGTAAAAAAATTTCAAACCCTGAAAAATCAGACTAGTTCAAAAAATGACCCTTAAAATCAGGGTAATCAGGGCATTTCACCCTGATATTTTGGGGCCTGATGGCGTCATTCCTAGCTAAGCTAGTGTCCTAACTTTAGGAACCTATACTCATAAGTTTCTGATATGGTATCAGAGCGGTCTGCTCCTAGCGGGCCTGCTCCTCACGATTCCGCCGTGCTTTCCTCTCCTTTTCCTCACGCTGCCATGGCGGCCGCAGCGGCGTCACGCTGTGGCGGCGTCGTCTTGTCGCCGGCTGCGCCGTCCTGCCGCAGCCGTCTCGACACGCAAACGTGGCGCCGCGCTGACGTCGTCCCGGTCGTGTCGTACCGCCGCGACCGTCTCGTCGTGCTGCTGTGGCGACATGCGGCCAGCGCTCGGCCTTAGCGCTGGCCAGCACACACGCACTTTGTCGCGCCACACCTGTGCTGCTGCAGCCCTGCCCCCGTCCCCTGCATCCCCTCTTACTCGCCGCAGCCGATGGCTGCCTTGCACCGGCCGTCCCACCGTTGCGGAACCTGGCCACGCCGCCGAGTGGGGCGAGCGCCGCCGCCGCCGCTGCTTTTGTCGAAGCCCCCGCTGCCGCCGCTGTTGCCGCTGGCCTACTTGCCGCCGCACGCCGCCGCTGCCGCCGCTGCTGTCGTCACTGCCGCCGCCGCCGTCGTCGCCACCGGACCCTCGTAGCTGTTGTCGCCGCCCCGCCCGTGGAGGGGTCTACCGGGTTGTCAACAGCCGCTGCTGCTGCAGAGTAGTGGGGTGCTAGGTTAGGGGGTGTGTGTGTGTGGTGTGGGTGTGTGTGGGCTTGACACTACCAAGCCTAGGGGGTGTATTAAAATTATTTAAGTTATAATTTATAGGCTTGGTATACTATTACTGAATACTGTTGTAGAGGGTACAACACCCCTTCTTGTATGCCTCTGTCTTCTTTTCAATTCTAACTTTTCTTCTCGACATTTCTTCTCACTACTCACGTTCCTAGATCTACTTTCCTCCCACCATCCCATGGCGTTATTCCTAGCTAAGCTAGTGTCCTAACTTTAGGAACCTATACTCCTAAGTTTCTGAGACAGGGTTGTATGATTTTGGATCCTGAAGTTTTCAGAGTAGTCGTTGTGCGGATGCTGAGGTTTCAGAGTACATCGCGTATGGACTCTGAATGCGACATCCATGGACCTTGTGTTCAAATTATATTTTATATAATTGTAGGCTTGATAGTTGTGCTACAAACTGCTTCCTACTGTAGAGGGGATAACTCCCCTTCTTGTACTTCATTCTCTTCTAGTCTAACTCTCTTCTCACTCGTCAATCTTCCTAGCTAAACCTCGGCCGCCATTTCATGGCGGCCTTCTCCTTTCTTGCTACATCACTTCATAACACCTTGTACTTTCCACGAGATTTCCTCTACTACGTCATATGCTGCCTTCCATCATTTCACCCCCGCACGTCTCACATGCAGTATCTGGACTTGGCAGGATTCCTGCCCCTTCTGTGACTGTGATGCTGCCTCAACAGGGACTTTGCCGCTCAGCGCGTCATGCATCATGCCAGGTGTGCATGCTAAGGACCTCTACGTGGGTGTGTTGGAAGCAGGGCCCTAGATTGGTTTTGAGGCTTCTTGATCCATCAAGATTCTCCCTTAAGAAAAGTCTGAATTTTCAGGGTCCCCTTAAAAAAAATCTTGAGCCATTAGAATTACAAAAAAAAAAAACTGATTTTTCCAATATTTCTATACATGTTATGGTTCATGAATTTTGTGTGTTCAAGTCTTGGTTTTTGGGGGTCCTGGGAATTCGTAGCGAATTCGCGTGTGTGTGGTGGTGAGATTGGGGGATGGACAGGAAACTGTTGGTGCAACCCTATGGCTTGCACTCGGCTTGTCGTCCTTGTTTGTGTGTGTGCATGCATGGCATGGAATGAATTGTGAGTCTATGTCATTGCTATCCAGTGCTTGTGTGTGTGTTTGAATGGTGTATCACAATGTGGTTTGTGTCGGTCAAGACATTAGCGAGTTTTTACAACTCGCATGTCAAGTCGTCGTTTGCGTGTCGCATGCGTTTTTTTTTTCTATTTTGTCGAGTGTGAAGTGTCCATCGTGTCGCAGGTGTGTGCAGCAAGCCCCCATCAACTCAAGAAGAATTTATCTTGCAGATCCAAGAACAAGAGCTCAAGATTTCAAGCCCAAGGGACGCGGATAAATATTAAATAGTGAAAATAGTAACGTTACTTCGGGTAGTGTTACATTTCACTTGGTGTAGCCCCTTGGAGGGTTGGTTTCGAGACTCTTCATGGTTGGGGACTCTCTGGTGGTGTACCACCAACCTGGACCTCGGTGTTGTGTGATGTCATCATATGTTATCACATTCTGTCTGCCTCCCATCCCTTGTTTCAATTCGCACGTATGGTTTGACTGTGTGTGAAAGAATTTGTGTGGTGTGTGTTCTGGAGTTTGGGAATGTGTTTTGTGTTATTCTGTCTGAGCAGGTATTTGTGATGATAGATCTTGAGAAGATCTTTCCGACGCAACAAGAATCGCGTCAATCGGAGCAAGAACGCGAAAGCTATGAAGATTCAAAGTTCATGAGCTTGCGTTACAATTGCGGCGGTTACAAAGTGAAGTTGTGGGGTGACTTTATATGGAGTTGGGACCTTTGGGGTTGGGGAAATTCGTCACTCTACTGTAACAGCTGCAAATTGGTTGGGAACAACCAAGCTAGGTTGGCAAGGGTGGCCAACTTGGATGGATTGGTTGGGAAGGGACAAATGTCAAAGTTGGGGTTCCTATAGGGAGGGAATCTTTGTGCTTATGGGGTTTCCTTGGTTGGGGACTCTCTTGGGACCTTCCCTCTCATCCCTCTCTTCTATCCCAACCTTTCTCTTGCTCCTCTAAATTCCTTGTGAGATTCTTGAACTTTGATTGAACCTTTGAGATTGAGTTAAGTTCTCCTCCTACAGCTTACCCCCTAATGCGTCGAAAGCCATAGCGTCGCGAATACTTCATCAATCAACGTGATTCAAATTGGGAACGGTAGCTGAGATTAAGAGCTACAACATATCCAAGTTTCGCGACATTCCAACGGCTAGTTTTTCGTCGACGTCGTTTCTTGTAAAGACGACTTTTCTGTCCAGAATTTCGGATTTATATTTTGAGTAATTCTAGCTCCTAAGTTCACCTAGACTCCGTCCTTAATCCTAACAAGTGGTATCAGAGCAATATTAAGGACATTGAGAGGAGTCTACAGAAGTTTGAAGACCCTTCTAGACCCACCATGGCCTGTGGGTGTGCCTAAGTGGTGTTCTAAAGGTTGGATGTGTCTTCCGCTAAGGGGAAACTCTGCCGAAATTTCGTGGACGCCGACACTTGTGAAAATATCGAGGGAGCTGAGTGTGGACAGCAAAGGGGAGCTGAAATTCGTCATTTCTCAAGGAGAAGATGAATGAGAGAGGAGGAGATGCTAATGGAAGAGGAGCTGTACCTGAGAAGACAAGTGAGCCGCCGCCATCAAAAGTTGAAGCTTTGGATGGCTCCAACTATGAGGAATGGAGCGGACGGATGAGGAGTGCCTTCAAACGCTACAAGCTACTGAAGATTGCTGTTGGGGAAGAGAAGATGCCGGAAGAAGGCGAAGCACGTGAACGGTGGATTGAGAAAAGCACGGTGCTTTTCGACCTCATCCTTCAATCGGTCAACAAGGAGATGTTCGAGCACATCAAGGATCTTGTGGAAGCGGATGATTCGGGTCCAAGGGCGTGGAAACTACTACGCGATGTGATTCAGCCCAACACTCTCCTGATGGTGATCGTGCTCGAGAAGGAACTTGCTGCCATCTCCATGCGACCAGGGGACGATGTGAAGCCGGTCCTTGACAAGATCAAGGACACCTATGCAAGGATGGCAGCAGCGGGCAGCAGTGTATCTCAGCTGCAGCAGTGCACCAAGATCATCTCGGTGTTGGACAACTCTTGGGACAACCTCATCCCCACCCTCAACTCTCAACAAGATCAATGGACACCTGAGTGGCTAAGGCAGCAGATTCTGCAGGAGGACTTCCGCAGACGCCATGTGGGAGGCGGTGCTGCCACTAAGACTGCTGAGGGGTATGGAGCTGCAGGGCGCGGCAGAGGAAGAGGGGGTTGGAGAGGCCGAGGCCGTGGGAGGAGCTTTGGCAGAGGTAGAGGCCGAGGTGACTATAATGAGGGGCATGGGAGCTCTAGTGGCAGGGGGAGTACCAGAATGGAGGGCACCTGCTGGTACTGCAAGAAGATAGGGCATCCTTGGTTCAAGTGCTTCAGGAGGGATGGGCACCTCCAGGCATGAAGCCACCCAGTGGTGAACGCGCACAAGGTGGCGCTGTGCAAGGCTCAGGTGCACAAGGTGAAGGTGCACAAGGTAATGCCTATCCTGGTTTGTTTCTTATGGTTGAGGATGTGCATGGGCATGAGGGTGATGTGGGATCTGTGGGAAAGGTTGTGATGCACCCTCTCACGCACTGGGTGATTGATTCGGGTTGCACCAGTCACATGACCCCACGGGCAGATTTGCTTGATGAGGTAAAACCCCCTGGGAAGATCAAGTATGTGGCAGCAGCGTCAGGTGCTTTGCTCCCTGTCATTGGTGTTGGAAATGCCAAGGTTAAGGGAGCTAATGGGGAGCTTGTGGGGCTTGGGAATGTTCTGCTGGTTAAAGGCTTGTCTGCTAACCTTCTCTCTGTGCGACGACTGCAGAAGAGCAAGGCCGAAGTGACCTTTGGACCAACCAGCTGCCGTGCTAAGCTTGGGAAGAAGGTGCTATGGAGTCTGGAAGAGGAGACCAGTTGCATCAAGGACCTGTGGCAGCTGCCCATCATCCCATGGAATGGGAAGACTCCAACAGCAGCAACGGCAGCAGCGGCAAAGGCAACAGCAGGAGGAGATGCAACTGCACCAACTGATGGGGTCCTGGAAGCAGTCAAGAAAGTGCAGCAGCAGCAGAGACATGGTGAGGTGCTTGCTGGTGTGGATGCGAGTGCGGCATGGGCTAAGGCTTCATCAAAGAGTGGAGAGGCCGATTGGGAGACATGGCATGAGAGGCTGTGTCATGTGAACTTCCCTATGCTACAGAAGTTGGTAAAGGATGGGAGCCTGAAAGGCTTGGAGGTGAAAGGGGGAGTGAAGGAGATTGGGAGCTGCCCTACATGCTTGGAGACCAAGTTCTCCAAGTTCCCCTTCAACAGCACTACAGGACCAGCCAAGACCCCACTTGCACTTGTGCACATGGATGTGGTGGGGCCCACAAGAGCCCCTTCCCTCTCAGGCAGCCGCTATTTCTTGACAATTGTGGATGACCACACTCGAGCAGTGTGGGTTTACCCTTTGAACAGCAAGGGGGAGGTGGCAGCGGCTGTCCTTAAGGAGTGGATGCCGAGAGCTCAGAGGGAATGCGGACACAAGGTGAAGGTGATCCGTAGTGACAATGGTGGGGAGTTCATTGGAGCTGATTTTGAGGGGGAGTTGAAGAGGAAGGGGATCCAACATCAACTGACAGTGCCCTACAACCCGCAGCAGAATGGCGTGGCTGAGAGGTTCAACAGGACCCTGCAGGAGGGGGCACGCACTCTCCTTGGGCGTGCAGGGCTGCCTGATCCGTTTTGGGTGTCTGCACTGAGGCAGGTCGCCCTTGTGAAGAATAGGGTGCTGGCTACAGTTGGAGATAAGGAGTGGATCCCATATGCCAAGTGGTATGGGAGTGCTCCAGCGGTGAACATGCTGAGGGCATTTGGGTGCATGGTGGTGTTTCATGTGCCCAAGGAGAAAAGGGGGAAGTTGGAGGCTTCTGGAAGATGGGGTGTGCACTTGGGGATTGCAAAGGATCACAAGGGGTGGCTGCTATGGGACCTGACCACCCAGAAGCTGACAGTGTCAAGGGATGTGAAGTTTCTTGAGTCCCTGTACTATAAGGAATGGAAGCAGCAGCAACAGAAGCTTCCATCTACACCACTCATTGTGGAGGCAGATGAGTTGCAGCAGCCTTCAAGACAGGTAGAGGTTGCAGTGTCAGAGGAGGAGATGTCTGGGGTGACTGAGGAAGGGGGAGCAGCTGAAGTAGAGCAGCAGCAGCAGCAGCATGAGTCTCCACCTCGAGTTCCACACCCGCCTGAGCGTCCTAGGAGGGATGTGCGCCCTCCAGTGAGGCTGACCTATGGGGGAAGAGGCAAGCCGAATGTGGTGCAGGCTGGGAGTGTGGTTGAGCAGATTGAGGAAGATGAGATCGCTCACTGCTACTGGGCACCAATCCCTGAGCCCAAGACTCGAGAAGAGGCCTTGAATGGACCAAATGGGGAGAAGTGGAAGGCGAGTGAGGATGAGGAGTTCGGGTCCCTAATTGAGAACGAGACATGGGACCTGTGTGACTTGCCTCCTGGAAAGAAGGCAATCACTTCCAAGATGATCTACAGGCACAAGTATGGACCTGAAGGGGAGCTGACCCGCTACAAGTCTAGGCTTGTGGCACGGGGGTTTCAGCAGACAAAGGGGAAGGACTATGATGAGGTGTTTGCTCCTGTGGGGAAAGGAACAACACTGAGGGTGCTGTTGGCGATAGCTGCACTCCTGGGATGGAAGATTCGGCAGATGGATATTGTGACTGCCTTTCTGAATGGGATCATTATGGAGGAGGTGTACATGAAGCAGCCAGAGGGGCTGGATGACGGGAGCGGCAGGGTCTGCAGGCTGAAGAAGGCCATCTATGGCCTTAAGCAGGCGCCTCGTGCATGGTATCACAAGTTGGAGGAGGCGCTGTTGGCTGGGGGTTTCAAGAAGAGTGAGTGTGACCCCAGCCTGTTCCTGCTGCAGGAGAAGGATGAAATCCTCATGCTCTTGGTGTATGTGGATGATATCCTTCTCTTTTCTGCATCCACTGCTTTGCTGGACAGCGCAGAGCAGATGCTGGAGATGCAGTTCAAGTGCTCCAAGATGGGTGAGGTGAAGTACTACTTGGGGATGCACGTGGAGAGAGATGTGGAAAAGGGTGTGCTGAGGTTGCACCAGAGGAAGTACTGTGAGGGGCTGGCTGAGAAGTATGGGCTGCAAGATGGGGGAAAGCCAGCAACACCACTACCTTCGGGGTTCACTGTGGAGCCATGTGCTGATGAGGAGGTAGTGGGTGATAGTGACAGGAAGCTGTTTCATTCGATGGTTGGGTCGCTGAATTATGCTGCAAATCATACACGGCCTGACATTGCATTTGCTACATCACGGTTGGCTAGTGTGGTCTCACGCCCTAGTCATGAGCAGCTGGAAGCGGCCAAGAGGTTGGTCCGCTATGTGAGTGCTACGGCATCAGTGGGATTGGAGTACAGTGGAGTGAGGCAGCGGTTGCAGAGAGGTGCTGCAGATGTGAAGAGTGGAGAGATGCTCTTGAGTTGCTATACTGACGCTAGCTTCAACTCAGTGAAAGCGGATGGCACCAGCATTGGGGGTTATGTGTGCTTGCTAGGAGGTGGTGCTGTGAGCTGGCGCAGCAAGAAGCAGAATGAGGTGGGATTGTCCTCATGTGAGACTGAGTACATGGCCTTACACCATGGGGCCAAGGAAGTAGTGTGGCTAAGGCGTTTGTTGGAGGAGTTGGGAGTTGGTCAGGAGGAGCCGACAGTTGTGTTCTGTGACAATGAGTCTGCTGTGAAGCTCGCCAAGAATGCTTGTTTGCATGGGCTGACAAAACACATAAGGCCTAAGTGGCACTGGGTGAGGAGACTCCTTGATAAGGAGGTGCGGCTGGAGATAGTGAAGACCCATCAGCAGGCAGCAGATATTTTCACCAAGCGTCTGGCGGAGGCGGATCATTGGAAGGGCATGAAGCTTGCTGGGATGAGTGTGCATTGAGTATGCATGCTTGAGATGTTGGTATGGTGGTTGATGGTTGGCAGCCAGAGGGGGAGATTGTTGTGTGATGTCATCATATGTTATCACATTCTGTCTGCCTCCCATCCCTTGTTTCAATTCGCACGTATGGTTTGACTGTGTGTGAAAGAATTTGTGTGGTGTGTGTTCTGGAGTTTGGGAATGTGTTTTGTGTTATTCTGTCTGAGCAGGTATTTGTGATGATAGATCTTGAGAAGATCTTTCCGACGCAACAAGAATCGCGTCAATCGGAGCAAGAACGCGAAAGCTATGAAGATTCAAAGTTCATGAGCTTGCGTTACAATTGCGGCGGTTACAAAGTGAAGTTGTGGGGTGACTTTATATGGAGTTGGGACCTTTGGGGTTGGGGAAATTCGTCACTCTACTGTAACAGCTGCAAATTGGTTGGGAACAACCAAGCTAGGTTGGCAAGGGTGGCCAACTTGGATGGATTGGTTGGGAAGGGACAAATGTCAAAGTTGGGGTTCCTATAGGGAGGGAATCTTTGTGCTTATGGGGTTTCCTTGGTTGGGGACTCTCTTGGGACCTTCCCTCTCATCCCTCTCTTCTATCCCAACCTTTCTCTTGCTCCTCTAAATTCCTTGTGAGATTCTTGAACTTTGATTGAACCTTTGAGATTGAGTTAAGTTCTCCTCCTACAGCTTACCCCCTAATGCGTCGAAAGCCATAGCGTCGCGAATACTTCATCAATCAACGTGATTCAAATTGGGAACGGTAGCTGAGATTAAGAGCTACAACATATCCAAGTTTCGCGACATTCCAACGGCTAGTTTTTCGTCGACGTCGTTTCTTGTAAAGACGACTTTTCTGTCCAGAATTTCGGATTTATATTTTGAGTAATTCTAGCTCCTAAGTTCACCTAGACTCCGTCCTTAATCCTAACACTCGGCTCTTGGGGTATGTAGAGGCTGGGAACCATCTCCCTCTCGAACTCTTCTTGCTAAGTTTGTACTCCTAAGACTATAGTGGCTGCTATACCTCCTGCCAGTCAAACCGCCATAGCGTCGTCAAATCTTCATGGAATTTCATGATTCAACTTGCTGCTGATAGACGACAGCAATACGCTCCAGATCCAACTTACAGATCACAGTTTGACTCAGCCACCAGATCGTTATCAATATTTGAAGCCGTCTGACGGAAATCCGACTGTGCTCTCTATCTCTCATTATAGGCACATCTGAGCCTATTGTGACTATAACAGAGGTATCAGAGCCCCTTGGAGCCGTCTCGACCATGCCTGGACCTGAGGAAGGGGGTGGCAGAGGTGCTGGAGGTAGAGAGGACGCCCAAGCACAAGGTCAACACCAAGATCCACCCGTTGCTCCGGTGCAACCTAGCCTTGGACCCTCTAGGGATGAGCCTAGAGTGTTTGGCCTTGACAAGTTCAACGGTGACAACTTTGCTGAGTGGTCCTTCAAGATGGAGAACATCTTTGACCACTATGATCTGCTGGAGGTGATGGAAGGAACGGAGAAGCGCCCCGAGAACGACCCGGAGAAGAGCCCGTGGGTGCGGAAGAGCGCACAAGGCTACCTTCTACTTGGGCAAGCGTTGGGGAGCAGCCAAATCCGTCACATCAAGCCTTTTCAGCGTGAACCAGCAAAGGGACCAAAGGCATGGGCTGCTCTCAAGGGTGTACACGCTCCTGCAACAGCGGCGGTGGCTGTGGTTTTGGAGCGGCAAATGGCGGCACTTCGAATTGACGAAGGCGAACCGGTGGAGGAAGGAGTGCAGAAATTCTTCGACTTGTTGACACGGCTCGAAGGAGCTGACCTGAACTACAGTGACCTTCAAAAGAAGACCAAGTTGCTGGCCTTACTTTCGGACTCATGGTCCTCGCTCATCATCAACCTTAATCGAGATCTGCCCCGTCTCTCACTCGAAGATGTGAAGCGCGAAATCTTACAAGAAGATTTCCGCCGTCGCGAATTGGCGGGTCCCGATGGTGCCGGAGTTGCAAGCATGGGCCGTGGGCACGGCCGTGGAAGGGGCAGAGGGCAAGGAGGAAGATTTGGCAGCAGTAACTTCAATAGAGGCCGTGGTAATGGAGGATATGGCAGCAACAACAACAACAATGGCTACGGGCGTGGGCGCGGTCGATTTGATGGCGAATGCCACTTTTGCCACAAGACCGGCCACATGTGGAGAGATTGCTTCAGATTGCCTGATGGATGGACCCCTTCTCAAGGCCAAGAGGGCAGAGGAGCAAGGGGAGGAAGAGGCAGAGGTCGTGGAGGCCGTGGTGGTCGTGGAAGCGAAGCGGCAAGCATGAAAGGTGGAGACTACGACAAGGACTCGAGTGAAGATCGATACCCGGGCCAATTCTTCTTTGTCTCCACGCAAGCGGCAGCTGCAGCAGGAGGTGTGGAAGGCTTTGAGGAGCCAGCTACTGTGGGAAAGGTCACCCTTCACTCTCTGGACTTTTGGGTGATCGATAGTGGCGCCACCTACAGCATGACACCTCGTGCGGACTTGCTCACCGAACTCGAACCGTCGCCGGTCAAGCATGTTACATCGGCTTTGGGGCAGCGAGCAGAGGTGAAGGGCATGGGCAAGGCCATGTTCAAGGGTGCTGATGGGAAGATGGTGGGCCTCAAGAACGTGCTTTTGGTGCCCAACCTAGCAGCCAACCTGATTTCCGTTCGGCGTTTGCAAAAGGCCAGCATGGACACATCTTCCAAGGGATCCAAAACCTATACCGCAAGGCTTGGTGAGCGGAAGCTTTGGGACCTTCATGAGGACAGGGACATCTACAATGAGATGTGGCAAATCCCAGTGGTCCCCATGCCTAAAGAGAGGCAAGTGGCAGCAAGCGTCAGCACCAAGCGTGAAGCGGTTGGTGGAGGTGATCACGGAAAGCAAAGTGGCACCAAGAGTGACTCGAAGGAGTGCAACCTTGGAGAGACCAGCAAGGCGTGTGAACCCAAGGAGAATGGTGCAGCAGCCAAAGGTGGTGGAAATGAGGAGGAAAAGGCTAAGATCAACAAAGCAGCAGCGGCGAAGGAGAAAGGAGAGAGCTTGTGGGGCACAATTGCGAGTGCCGCTTTCTCAAACCCGACTTCCGCTACGGGAGAGTGTGATTGGCTGACCTTGCATCGGCGAATGGGGCATGTGGCATTGCCCATTTTGCAGCAGATAGTTAAGCAAGAGATGGTCAGTGGGATACGTGTCAAGGGGGAGCCCAATGAGGTGCTTGGCTGTCCAACATGCATGCAAGCCAAGTTCACCCGCTACCCGTTCCATAGCTCGGAGACAACGGCGAAGGCACCACTTGATGAGGTGGTGATGGATGTGGTGGGCCCCTTGAAGCTTGGAGCTGCTGGAGCAGAGTACTTCCTCACCATTGTGGACGTCTACACTCGCATGACTTGGGTGTATGTACTGCCCAAGAAGAGTGACGTAGCTGAAACGGTGAAGACCGATTGGTTGCCGATGGTGGAGCGGCAACAAGACCGACTTGTGAAGGCGATTCGCACTGACCGTGGGGGAGAGTTCCTGAGCAAGGATTTCTGAACTTGGCTGAAGAATCAGGGCATAAGGCACTCTCTTACCATGCCCTACTCTCCTGCAATGAACGGCATCGCCGAGCGTGCGAATCGGACACTCACGGAGACGGCTCGGGGACTTCTCATTGAAGCCGGTCTACCCAATTACTTTTGGCCGGATGCGGTGCGGCATGCTTGTGTGGCCAAGAACAGAGCCTTGACTCATGTGGGAGAAGACAAATGGGTGCCCTATGTGGAGTGGATTGGAAGGAAGCCGAAGGTGGATATGCTTCGGGTGTTCGGGTGCATGTGCATGGCACTTGTGCCTAAGAAACTTCGGCACAACAAGCTTGATGCCAAGGCAACATGGGCCGTGCACCTGGGCATGGCCCAAAACAGCAAGGGATGGCTTCTATGGGACCCATTTACCAAGAAGTTCCTGGTGAGCAGAGATTGCAAGTTCATGGAGAACTTACCGTACAAGGAGTGGAAGGCGGAGAACCAAGCGAAGATTGGTGTGCGGCTTGGAGAGGTGAAGAGTACCGGCTTGGAGCATGTGGAGCTGCCCTTGGAGCTGAGTAGCAGCAGCACAATCACGAGGCAATCTCCCCAAATGAATGGGGATGAGGAGGAGGAGGAGGTGCAGCAAGGTAATGAGCGTGCACCGCCACTTCCGCCTCGTGCTACAAGTGCTCGCGGGAACCGATCGGATTTACCGCAAAGCCATGAGAGCATTCAAGTCCCTGCAGCAGAAGAGGAAGGAAGGGGGAGAAGGAGGACTCAGCCCCCCAATAGGTTGAGCTATGAACGGCTTGGAGGACCAGCCAACTCAACCTTGACCGGTTCGGCTCTCATGCTAGGCGATGATGCGGAAGATGAAAGCGAGGAGTGCGCCTTTGCCTTCTTCTCTCCGGTGGAGATGCCGGGGGAGCCTACAAATCCCAAGGAGGCTTGGGAGGGCCCCAATGGGAAGGAGTGGAAGAAGGCCTCAGATGAAGAAATGGGGAGCATCATAGAGAACGACACATTTGACTTGGTGAACCTACCTCCGGGGCGGAAGGCGATCTCTTCCAAGTGGCTCTTCAAGCGCAAGACCGACGCCGACGGCAACATCGAGCGCTACAAGAGCAGACTTGTAGCCAAGGGGTATCAGCAGCAAGAGAAGAAGGACTACAATGAAGTGTATGCCCCTGTGGTGAAGGGTACAACCCTTCGAACCCTCTTCGCCGCGGCGGCCATCAAAGGATGGGTGGTGAAGCAAATGGATATAGTAACGGCCTTCCTCAACGGCGTTTTGGAGGAAGAGACCTACATGGAGCAGCCAGAGGGGTACAATGATGGGAGTGGCAGAGTGTGGAAGCTGAAGAAAGCACTCTATGGCCTCAAGCAAGCCCCTAGGCAATGGTACATCAAGCTGCGGGAAGTCTTGGAGGCGATCGGCTTCACTCCCTCAACGGCCGATCAATCCTTGTTCATGCTTGGCGAGGGGGAGCAGAGGAGCTTCATGGTGGTTTATGTGGATGACATCCTCATATTCTCACCCTCCTCTGACCTTGTGAAGGAGGTGATGCTGAAGCTTCAAGACAAGTTCAAGTGCAAGACCCTTGGTGACGTCAACTACTACCTTGGGCTTCACATTGAGCGAGATGTGGAGAAGCGGTGGATGCGAGTGCATCAAAAGAAGTACTTGGAGGCCTTGGCTGCAACCTTTGGAAAGAGTGAAGGACATGTGGCTACTCCTCTTCCCTCAGGGTTCAAGTGTGTGAAAGGACCAGCGGAGGAAAGTGTTGGTGAAGAGGAGAGGCGGCGTTTTCACTCCTTGGTGGGCAGCCTCATGTATGCGGCCGTTCACACAAGGCCGGATGCAGCCTTTGCCACCGGGCAGCTGGCTAGGGTTGTCCAATGCCCTAATGAAGAGCAGGTAGCAGCTGGAGAGAGGGTGGCCAAGTACCTTGGCCAAACAGCAACTGTTGGACTGCAATACTCCGCGGCGGCACAAAGGCGTCAAAAGGGTGCGGATGGAGTCGAACCCGGGAGGCTCTTTCTCACCGCCTTCTCTGATGCATCTTGGGCATCAGAACCAGAGGACATGACAAGTGTGGGAGGCTTCATTTGCTGTGTTGGTGGAGGTCCAACAGCTTGGGAGAGCAAGAAACAAGTGGACCAAGCATTGAGCTCGGTGGAGTCCGAGTACATGGCACTCTTCCGTGCCATAAGAGAGGTTGTGTGGCAGCGGCGTTTGCTAGCTGAATTGGGGGAGGAGCAGCAAGGACCTACCCCACTCTATTGTGATAGCCAGGGTGCTATTGCATTGGCTAAGAATCCGGTTCTTCATGGCCTTACCAAGCACATGAAGGTGAAGTGGCATTGGGTGAGGAGCATGGTAACCGCGGGTGAAGTGGAGTTGCACTACGTGAAGACGACGGCACAGCCTGCGGATATGATGACCAAGAGGCTGGTTGAGCAGCAGCATTGGAAGTGTTGCAAGCTTTCTGGGATGGCTCTGAACTAAGGGGAGCAGATTCTAAGGCCAACAATCCGAGGGGGAGTTTGTTGGTGCAACCCTATGGCTTGCACTCGGCTTGTCGTCCTTGTTTGTGTGTGTGCATGCATGGCATGGAATGAATTGTGAGTCTATGTCATTGCTATCCAGTGCTTGTGTGTGTGTTTGAATGGTGTATCACAATGTGGTTTGTGTCGGTCAAGACATTAGCGAGTTTTTACAACTCGCATGTCAAGTCGTCGTTTGCGTGTCGCATGTGTTTTTTTTCTATTTTGTCGAGTGTGAAGTGTCCATCGTGTCGCAGGTGTGTGCAGCAAGCCCCCATCAACTCAAGAAGAATTTATCTTGCAGATCCAAGACCAAGAGCTCAAGATTTCAAGCCCAAGGGACGCGGATAAATATAAAATAGTGAAAATAGTAACGTTACTTCGTGTAGTGTTACATTTCACTTGGTGTAGCTCCTTGGAGGGTTGGTTTCGAGACTCTTCATGGTTGGGGACTCTCTGGTGGTGTACCACCAACCTGGACCTCGGCTCTTGGGGTATGTAGAGGCTGGGAACTATCTCCCTCTCTAACTCTTCTTGCTAAGTTTGTACTCCTAAGACTATAGTGGCTACTGTACCTCCTGCCAGTCAAACCGCCATAGCGTCGTCAAATCTTCATGGAATTTCATGATTCAACTTGCTGCTGATAGACGACAGCAACATGCTCTAGATCCAACTTACAGATCACAGTTTGACTCAGCCACCAGATCGTTATCAATATTTGAAGCCGTCTGACAGAAATCCAACTGTGCTCTCTATCTCTCATTATAGGCACATCTGAGCCTATTGTGACTATAACAGAAACGACAATTGGTGGGGGGAGAGGGGGGAAGGGTGTCAACTTATACATGTATCATGAATGTAGAAGTTATAGGCTAGTATCGGTGTGTGCTCTTAGTTAGTACAACCCAATTGCTATATGTTCCCTGTTTTCCCCTCTAGTAAAATATTCACGTATTCTAACATGGTATCGAGTAGGTTAGGTCCTCCCACCCGCTTCCGCCCGCGCCCTAGGTTAGCGCCCGCCCGCCCCTTAGAGCCCGCTCGGCCCTTAGCGCCCGTCGCGCCTGCTAGGCCCCCGTAGCGCTCGCTAGGCCCCCGTCGCGCCCGCTAGGCCCCCCGTCGCGCCTGCTTGGCCCCGTCGCGCCTGCCTGGCCCCGTTGCGCCCGCTTGGCCCCGTCGCGCCCGCCTGGACTTGCCGAGCCCGCCTGGCTCCATCGCGCCCGCCTGGCCCTGTCGTGCCCGCCTGGCCCTGTCGCGCTAGCCTGGCCCCTTAGCGCCCGCCTGGCCCTGTACCGCCCTCCTGGCCCCCGTCGCGCCCTCCTGGCCCGTAGCGCCCTCCTGGCCCGTAGTGCCCTCCTGGCCCCCGTCGCGCTCGCCTGGCCCTGTCGCACCCTCCTGGCCCCGTCGCACCCCCCTGGCCCAGTCGCCCCCGCTTGGCCCCGTCGTACCCTCCTGACCCCGTCGTACCCGCCTGGCCCCGTCGAGCCCGCCTGGCCCCACCGCGCCCGCCTGGCCCCACCGCGCCCGCCTGGCCCCACCGCGCTCACCTGGCCCTCTAGCGCCTACCTGGCCCCACCGCGCCCGCCCGACCTGTTGCGCGCCCCGGCCCCTCCTAGTGACCGCCCGGCCCCTCCTCGTGACCGTCCGGCCCCTCCTAACGACCGCCCGGCCCCTCCTAGCGCCCGCCCGGCCCCTCCTAGTGACCGCCCGACCCCTCCTAGTGACCGCCTGGCCCCTCCTAGCGACCGCCCGGCCCCTCCTAGCGCCCGCCCGGCCCCTCGTAGCTACCGCTCGGCCCCTCCTAGCGACCGCCAAGCCCCTCCTAGCGCCCTCCCGGCCTCTTCTAGCGCCGGCCCGACCCCCTTCCTCGTGCCGTCCGGCCCCTTTTGCGCCCGTCAGGCTCCTAGCGCCCGCCCGGCCCCCTCGCGCCTCCCGACTTCCAGCGCCAGCCCGGCCCCTCCTACTACCCGCCCGGCCCCTCCTCGTTCCTGCTCGGCCTGCCGTGCCACCTCGGGCCCCGTCTCCTCTACTCGCCCGTGCTGGGGTGCCTCGCTGCCGCCATGCTGGAGAGTGCTGCCGCCGTGTCCCCGCGCCGCTGTGCTCCTGAGGAGCTGTGGAGCTGTGCTGCTGTGTCGCTGACCCTGCACAATGGCTGACTTCGTGCTCCGTCTGGACGCTGAGGGCCACGCGGTTGACTTCGCCGCCTGGCTCTCCGACCTCCGCCGACACCTTACAGGTCAGCGCCAGGATGGCCACTCCTTAGTCGTCCATGCTGATGGCTTACTCCCCCGCCCCCTGCCCCTGCTCCCCTCCCTGCTGACCCCTCCTCTGATGACCGTGAGGCCTTCTCTACTGTTGCTCTTGCCTGTGCGGTCTGGGACTCACGCGATGCAATAGCTCAGGTTGCTATCAGTCACGCCCTCCCTATGTCTGAGCGCTCGCGTTTTGCTACACTTGATACGGCCAAAGCTTATTAAGACGCCGTTATTGCTCGCTATTCCACTCCTGCCTCCGCTTCTGCCGGCCGCTTGCTCTTTCCGATGCTGTTCCCAGACCTTGCTGCCTTCCCTACTGTCGCAGACTTTGCCACTCACTTGCGTGCCCTAGAGACTCGCTATCGCACTGCCAGCACTGCTGCCCAGCTCACTGCGCTCCCCCACCCTTTCTGCATGACGCTCTATTTTATCGCCATGCGCCTGCCGGACCGCCTAGCTAGTGGCTCGCGACCACTTCCTTAGCCAGCACCCGGGTGACCTCACCCTGACCGCCTTTGTCGACACCCTCACCGAGATCGAGACTCGCCGGCGCACTATCGCTCAGTCGAGCGGTGCGCCGGCAGTCTCTATCTTTCACGGCTGTGCCCCCTCCCAGTGCACGTTCACTGACGTTTCGGCTGCGGTCGCCACTACGACCCCCATTATCGAGACCGCTGCTGCGGTACACCCGCAGCAGCGCTCGCGTCGCGGTGGCCGTGGACGCCAGGGAGGTCGGGGTGGTGCGCTGGTGGTGGTGGGAGTGGTGGTGGTGACGGTAGTCCGCCTTAGGGGACTACCACCAGCTGGCAGGAGCAGACACAGTCCCCTCCGCAGCAGGAGCAGCCCCAGCCGCAGCCGCCGTCCCAGCAGCAGCCGCCGCAGCCGTGGGCTCATCTCCCGCCTGGTTGGCCCGGCACCTCCGGAGGTAGTGGCCATGGTGGCGGCCCGCGCAGCTCGGCGTCTACTGGCGGATCCGGTGCTGTGACCTGCCAGTACCAGCTTCAGATTGGGCCTCTCCGTGGCACTCTGTGCCGCCGCCCGCACCCGACTTGCCCGCTGTTTCCGCCGCCTCGACGATCTCTTTTGTCGTCGCTTTGGCCCGGCCCCGGACCTCCCCGACTGGCACAGCCTGCTCCGCCAGGGCGTGCCGATCTTTGAGTTAGACATGGATCAGATAGGTGCTGCTTTGCATGCCTTGTATGCTGACGCTTCTAGTGTTGCTGGATCTTACTACCCTGTGTACTCTAGTTTAGGTGTTGCACCCTTGTGTAGCTTAGTCTCCCCTGCTGTGTCCCTGCATTGGCTCCGTTCCTGGCCTCCGCCACTGCTTCGCTGTCCTTCACTCTCGACTCCGGTGCTTCTGCCTGTTTCTTCCGCGACCGTTCCACGCTCACGCCGCTTGCTGCGCCTGCTGCTGTCTCTCTCGCTGACCCCTCTACGGGTCCCGTCGTCACGTCCCTTCCCCGTCCAGCAGTTTCCTCGGGCTCTCTTACAGGCCTCCACGTTCCTCGTTCTCCAGGAACCTAGTTGGTGTCAGCTGTCTCCAGGACCTCGGCGTCACCACTACGTTCCCTGGGCACGAGCGGTTTCGCTGTCTGTTCTGAGGCTGTCTCAGGTTCCTCCCTTGCGACGTTCCCCCGGGACCCGGTGTCCGTCTGTTCACCCTGGACACCGCTTCCCCTCGGTTGGTGCGTCCTCCCAGGTCGCTGCAGCTTGCTCGTATTGGTCCCTCACTCACCCGTCCCTTCTGTGGCACCATCGCCTAGGTTACCCTGCACTCCCGTGTCTGCATCACATGTCCCAGCACGGTCTTGTCTAGGCCTCGTCGCATCGCTCCCCGCCCTTCCCCTCTCGCCTGCTCCACCGTGCATGCCCTGCGTCGAGGGCCGGCTCCGCCGTGCCCCTCACTCCTCCTCGCTTCGCCTGCTACTGCTCCCCTTCAGACCCTGCACCTGGACGTTTGGGGCCCAGCCCCCGTCCCGGACCGCGTGGCGAGCGCTACTTTCTTGTGCTCGTCGATGACTACACGCGCTACACCACGGTGTTTCCCCTGGAGCGGAAGGCCGATGTGCCCGACGTTCGCTTCTGGTCGGCTTGGACAGTTCTGTCGTGCGGAGGGCATCACCCAGTCGTACACCTTGCCGGACTCGCCACAGCAGAATGGGGTTGCTGAGAGCCGCATCGGCTTGTCATGGAGGTGGCTCGTACCTCCATGATCCATGCCGGTGCACCCCATTTTCTGTGGCGTTCGCCATTCGCTACGCCGCTCACCAGCTTAACCTGTGGCCACGCTCCCAGCGGCCGCAGGTTTCGCCGACCCTCCTTTGGACCGGGTCCCCGGTGACGCGTCTGCGTTCCACGTCTGGGGTTGCCTTGCTCACGTTCGTGCCTCTGGCACGGACCAAGCTCACTGCCCCGCACTGTCCCCTGTGTCTTCCTTGGTTTCCCCTTGGACTCGTCTGACTGGCTCTTCTACCACCCGCAGTCTTACCGCTTCCTCCACTCTCGTGACGTCACCTTTGACGAGTCCGTCTCCTTCTACCGTCGCTTTCCTCACCGAGGTCTCCCGGTTCCCCCCCCTGTTCCTTGCCCCCTCTCCCCCGGTAGCCCCTCCTCCCCTCTTGCTGCGTCCTGCCCCGTCTGGTGTCTCCCATGTCACTCCCGTCCCGTCAGTTGTCCCTGTTGAGGAGTCTGCTGACTCTGGTGGTCCCCCCGCCCCGCCCGTTGCCGTGCCCGCTTCCCCTGGTGTCTCCGCCCCCGCTGTCGCAGTTGCCGCCGTCGTCGCCGCCGCCGTCGCTGCCGCCGTCGTAGCCGTCGCCGCCGCCGCTGCCGTTCTTGGCCTCTGGGGGTGTTGGCGCTGAGGATGGTGTTCGTCCTGCGGCTCCTGGCGTGGTCTGTCCCGGCGGGACTGGGGGCGCCGCTGGGGCTGGAGAGGGTTCTCGCTCTGAGGGTGTTCGTTCTGGGGGTGGTGCTATTGAGTGTTCTCCCGGAGGTCTTCGTGCCCCTGCAGGTTTGAGGGTCGAGCCCCAGTCCCGCCCCAGCCGCAGCACCAGCCGCCGCAGCCGTCGCCGTTGGTCTCCGCTCTTCGCCTGCTCGGCCTTCCCTCCCCTGACGCTCGCCGGTGTCTCCCCCACCTCCTCCTCCCCTTCCTGTCTACGGTCCTGTGTTCCCGCCCCCGGACTCTTCGCCGGCCCGTCTTCCTCCTCGTTCCCCCTTGTGTCCCCTCCGCTGTCTCCTGACCCTACACCTCCGTCCCACGTTTGGTCTCGCCGTCCCTCCCGTGCTCGTCCCCGTCTCCCCTGTCTCG